CATGACATGATAGGGAGGTGGTTGTGCATATATTATCTTGAAATGCATTGCCATCTCTGTTTTGTCTCTATTAGCAGCAATAGCATTCGCAGGAAGTATGCCGGTCGGCCAATCTTTAGTGCCGGTCGGCTACAAACATCTGGCCGAGAGCCACATTTTTGGTCGATGACCAGTTTACCTGGGCCAATGGCCTCATCTTTTGGCCGATGGCCTCTCAGCATGCCCACAGGGTGGTTCAGAAGTGTCACAGAAGTGGCACAATTTTCAGAGGTACAAAGCAGTGCAAACAGAGGCAAACATGAAGCATGGCGATGGATTTCCGAGCGAAGCCGTCCGAGCATGCATTCAATCCCTCGTCTTGAGGCCATTTTAGTGTTTTAATAACTTAGAATAGTTATTTATTTTGATTTGGTTGTGTATTAATTAATTAGTTGTGAGTTAGTTTAATTTAGTTAATTGGATTATTCTTTGGTCCTCCGTCGAGAGGGCGCAATTGTGTAATAAGCGTGCGTGTGTGTGATGCATGTCTTCCAAGCCCCCATTTCTTTCTCTCTTTTACTAACCACTTACGATGGTTAGTTTAGGGCACGTTTCATTTATGTATACCTTATGCTTGCATGTTTGCATTCATTCATCAGTATTGCATGCACCAGGCTCGGTGCTCATACCAACTGCATTGTATTTCAATTCAATTTGAATACCATGTATCAAGTATTTGCATCTAACATGCCATTTTTAGAATAGCCGAGCTATTATTAGATGCATTTTCGCAATGTGTTTGTATTAGCCTATCTCAACATAGGAACTAGGATCATGCATGATTACTAACTAGTTTCTGTTTGGCTCGGAGTACATCTGTGAGTGTTTATGCTTTAGCATCTTGCATTTATGTGAGTGTAACATGATAGCATGCTTGCCATGAGGCTAATTGCTTATGTGATATAACTTCTGAATGCCTGTGGGTGAAGGTTGGATTACTTGATTGGAACGATTCATTGAAATCCGTGTTTTAGTACTACTGCGAGTAGCAATTTCAAATCATTTTCAAAACAAACGGTTATCGATGCTTTGTCCAAATTAGGCGATCTAAGTCTATACTTGTGTGTTGTGCGCATCAATAGTAATTCTAGCTAATTAACCGAACAAGAACGCATGTGTTTTCAAAAATAGGATATCATGCTTAGTACAGGCCGATCTTCGGATTCGGGCGAGCGGGGGTGCTCATAGATGACCTTCCCTCTCGTACCCAAGTTCCCGAGCCGAGGCAACTTTGGTGATGAATGGACACGTGGCCTTAGGTACGAGTCAGGGTTTCCTAAATTCTCTCCAAAATAAAATATTTAGGTGGCAACTCTGTATCTGGCAAAGCAGTCCATGTTTGACACTCTTTCTTAAAAACAGTTTTCCAAAACGATTTGCTGGATTTGGACTCTTGGTGATTTATCGTCTCCGTATTGCACTTTGTGGGATTAGATTCAAAACCGTGACATTTGAGTCCGAACTGCAGTAGCAAAGGCCCTCGGGCCCGTCTACAATCATATCACATGAAGATAAGTGAGACATATCGTTACTACTATTACTCACAGTGATCAGCTCCCGGTAGTAATGGGACGATGTCCCGTCTCGACCTACAAGCACAATGCACAAACACATAATATGAGATTATAATCGATCCTTTACTTATTCTCTTTGACCATTTAATCAATTTAGCCATGGTTGTACCAAGCTCATTATGCCTCAATAGTTATTATCCATGTCTCAGAAAATAGGAGGAATCGATGGAAAATGGTTTAAAGCGAAGAAATGTGTACAAAACCGGTAGACAGAAAGTGAGCAACTCTCACTAATTTGGGAATTATCTATTTCTATACTTAGAATTTGGGGGTGAGACCCCCACCATTGAAAACTAGACTTCTAGGGCTTGATTTTAGGCTCAAGAATCACTCAAAACGGAGTCCGGATGAAAAGATATGCTTGTTCAAAGTTGGCTGGACAGAGCTATCCCGCAGTACGGAAACAGGGCCGCACGTGCGGGAATTGGGCCGCACTTGCGGGAACAAGGTGCCTTTTTAGCAGAATCATTTTGGGGCTGGACATGGGCTGCCGCACGAGCGGCAAAGACCCGCCCGCACGTGCGGCTTTAGGCCAGTTTGGCTGTTCGAAAATGTTATGAGCTCTAAACTCTTGATTTTTCATTTTTAAGCTTGGTTTCAAACTCAAAATTACCCAAACATGTAAAATTATCTCATAACATGAAATAACCAACATCAATCAAGTGTAACCATTTTAAAACAACAATCCTTGCCTCAAAATAGAAATTCAAGTCTCACCTTCTATATAATCAAACTTCTATAATATATACCCCAAATAATACAAATACATCTTACACATGGTTGATCTTCACACCAAAACTTGGTATTCCAAGAATCATTCTTAAGATTGAACCCAATTCAAGCAAATTTAAGGAAATCAAGGTTCAATTTCCTTGAGTTTAACTCATTCCATTCATAACCCAACACACTTGTTCATTTACATATAATTTCCAAATCAATCCTTGATTTCATGTAGTAGATGAATTATTACAAAGATGATAGTTAGAGCCACATACCTTATCTTAAATCTTTGTTTTTTCCCCTTGATCTCTTCAATTTCTAGGCTTCATGGTTGATTTTCCTCCTCCTCCTCTCTCTCTCTCTCTCTCTCTCTCTCTCTCCCTATAGATATTTGTTGACTCAAAATGATAAGTTCACAACTCACTAGCATATCCATATATATATATATAACACACCATAAGCTTTTCACATAGGGAGGGCCAAACACGCCCTTAACGAATCGCCAAATTAAATTTCAATTAAAACTTCCTAGATGACTCTAAAAATTATGTTGATAATAATATGTCATCTGTTCCGATTTCTGAAGCCTCGAAGGACTTCAATTTGCAGTACAAAGTTAACCACCCAAACATGTATTAACGAATCAAACGAATTAAATTTCCAATTAATTTTCCCAAATGGCTATAAAAATTCCCATTAACACTATCCAAGTACTCAATTTTGATTTCTGAACCTGTAAAGGTCGGTAATTTCAATTTTAAAGCCGTAACTCAACAAATAATGCTTCAATTCAAACAGATATCATTAATTAAAATTGCATTAACCCACAAGGGCGTAAAGTAATTTCAGATACGGATTTTGGGGTCGTTACACAGAGAGAGAGAAGCACATAGACGAAGAGAGATAGACGAAGACGATCGAAGAGTACGAAAGATGATCGAAGCCCTCAGAGACAAAGACGATCATGATCGATAGTGGAGAGAAGAGAGTGACGAAGACAATCAAAGCCCTATTTGAGCCCTAAACCAATCCAACTACAAAGCTGCTACCATTGGTTCACTGTAAGTTTCTCTCAAACAACCCTTCTTCCTCCTCTATGTCGATATCGAAGGCTAGGGTCCTCTCTCTCTCTCTCTCCCTTTACGATCCCATCTTGGACTGAATCGCGTTCTCTTTGCACAGAAATGCGATTCTTACACGTTTCTTTCTAAGAAACGCGGAATTGTGATTCTTACTCAGAATCACCACCTAGTTGCACGATTCCTGCAACTAAGGGATAGACCAGCATGAGGTTGAACAATAAAATGTCAAGTTGACCAACAACAAGCCATCCAAGCCAACATTTTCACTTATAAGTTTTAAAAAAATCAGTTCCAAACATAAGACAATAAATTGATGATTTTGCTTAAAAAGGATGTCAATCAATGTGAAGAAGAAAATGAGAAAACAATGTTACAAAACCATATATATGACCCTAATTGCATAATATTTTTTAGATATATATAACACTAATTATCATACATTTGCATAAAATGAAAAAATATTTTAACTAATTAATCATACATTTGCATAATATATATCATACATTTGCATAATATACAACACTAATTTGTATAATATTTTTTAGATATATAACACAAATTAATTTTACATAATATGTTTCATATATATAACCACTAATTTGTAATAAATTTCATATCTTAAATCTCTCTCAAACTCATTTTTACATTGATATTTCATTGTAAGTTAAAAAATATGTGTATTAACTATAGCGGGTTCGGTTGGCAGATTATAAAATTTAAAATTTAAACCGCAGTTGGCAGTTAGAGCTGTGCGGATTGATGCAAATCAGTGCGTTTTAGCGGATTAGACGATATTTTGCACAGTCCTACCTGTGCCTTTAGTACGGTATAAATAAAATAAGCGAACAAAAAGGAGAAAATAAAAAATAAAAAAATAAAAATAAAATAAAAAGGAAAGGGGGAGGAAGGTGGGCAGGAGAGAGAATGCTTGAGTGAACAAAAAAAAAAGAGAAAAGAAGGTGGATGAGTGGGCAAGAGAGAGAGCGAATGCATGAGTGAACAAAAAGGAGGGAAAAGAAAGTGGGTGAATGAAAATTAAAAAAATATTGACCTTAGAATGAATTTGAAAATTAATCTTAGCCATTAATACAAAATATATCTCTTAAATATTTTGACACATTTTCAAAATTAATACTGCATCATTATATAGTTTGAGAGACATTATTTATGCGTCATTTCCATTGACGAAGATATCCAAATCCACTTGCTCCATGTTATTCTCATGCCTATCTTTTTCAAGCCATTTATCTCTCTTTTCATATCTACCATGCAACTCCCTCCCTCTCTCTCTCTCTCTCTCTCTCTCTCTCTCTCAGCATTTATCCATCCAATTATTCCAAACATCTACCAGTCAAACTAGAAAGTTTCAATATGAAATGGAAGATAGAAATGAGGCAAAAAGATCAGTAGATATTAAAAATCAAAGGGAATATACACACAAAAGTCAGCAGAGCTATGCAGAATATGCAAACCGGTGGCTCAAGACAAACCTCCAACTTTTAATATACCTGAGGAAACAAAAAAATGCTGTTCTATCCACTTCATAGCAGCAGTGAGAAGAATTTACTGAGGGTTCAGTGGGCGGCTATTTGCAGCAGAGACTCTGGAGCCCCCATTCAAGCAGCTCTTTGCTTGTGTCATCCTTGTGAACAATCACTTCTATGAAGCACAAACAATCACTCTTAGCACCCATTGCTGTATCAATTGCCTCAATGAGCTTTTCCGCATAGCGCACCTGCAACAGTGAGTGAAAGAAATGGTTTTTGTGATCAGCCATCGTCCCATTTAATGCATCAAAGCGAATGCAGTTAAGCTTCCCGACTCACCTTTGCTGTCCAGCACTTGCCTTCACCGTTGTTGATTGCATCGACCAAACCAGTGTAGTTCCAGTTCTTGATCACATTGTAAGGCCTGTCATGGATCTCAACTTCTATGGTGTATCCGCCATTGTTTATAAGGAAGATGATGTTCTCTGTTCACATCTCAGCATTGTTGACACATTTTGTGCTGTCACCTGCCAAGCATTCACCAAAATAGGTGTAAACAAGGACAAATTCAGAGCAGTGAATCCCATTACTGCAATGCAATCCCTTAAGTTTCTAATCCTTCATATTATGCATGCTAGGTGACATAAGATGAAGATATACAAACATCAACGTAGGAAGTATATCCAATACAGTATTCATAAGATTAGGAGAATTTATAAAAATCAAACTATATTATATACAATGAAGATTGAAATGTATGCATAATTACCTATAAGCTACCATCACCAATGGAAGCAATCACTCACTCATTCCATGCAACCTATGCATATCCAACAGTCGCACCTGCAGCCTAGCCAATTGATCCATATTGCATCTAGAACTCATACTTGCAAACCCCAATTTCATAATATTTTTTGTATCATAAAGTGTAATAAAACCAAAAAAAGATGCAACATTCTCTCCACAACTTACCCGCATCCCTCAGGCAACTTTAGTTTCTGGCAATTAAACCAAGAGTCCCTAGTCTCAGCAATCACATCGCTATCACTTGACAGCATCTTTTGAATGTGCTGGTACAAAACATTGACCCTTAAGGGCTCGTTAGGCTCACACTTGAGAGGATGTCCCTCGAGAACATAGATCCTACAGTAATTATCATACACAGTAGTGTTACGCTTAAGCCGCTTTGCCAGAGCTCTCAAGAAATCCTTCATCGTAACACATGCAATCGCAGGCCCATTTTCATTCACCACGCGTTCAGGCTGCACAATGATTGCCTTCTCTCTCTTTAAAAGTAGAGAGTAACCAACAGAGCTGTAGTCATTGAAAATGGGTCCGGCGAACAAGTATGCATCTGCAAATTCCATGATTTCTGCACAGAAGGCGGGGCTTACGGCACCCCAGTAAGTCCCAATGAAATGGGGTCCTTTGGCTGATGGCATCACCGCGACTGGATAACCACACGCATCTGCTAATTCGACAAATGCATCAGAAGCCTTTGTGTAGACGCGCCCGCGTGAGGCCCTCGTGCTGCAGTTCGGACTCAATTTTGTGTCACGGTTCTTAATCTGAACCAAAGAGTCCAAATCCGGCAAATCGTTTTGAGAAAACAGATTTTTAGAAAAGAAGTGCCAAACATGGACTGCTTTGCCAGATACAGAGTCGCCACCTAAATATTTTATTTTGGGAAATTTAGGAAACAGTCTCTTTAAAAAAAAATCCCCAAATTCTAGGTTTTCTCACCAAAACTATATAACTCAAATCTTTTGACTGAACTCGGTGCCAAAGGCCACGCGTGTCCGTCCCATCACCAAAGTTGCCTACGGTCGGGAGCTAGGGGTCACGATTGAAGGTCAGCATGACACCCCCTCTCGCCCGATCCAGATGCGGCTCTACAACCTGCCCATATATCCGTTCTTTGAAACGTATACTGTGTTTTTATCCGATATAGCTAGAATATTACTATGAGTTATGCGCATAGCACAAAGATATAGACTAGACGCTAATTTGGAATAAAACAATTGATATATCCGTTTGTTATTGAAAAATTGTTTTTGGATTTGCTACTCGCAAGTAGGCTGAAACACGGATTTCAATGAGCTATTCCACTCAGGACCAAATTTTTTCCAACTTTTTTTCCCATACCCACAGGCATTCAAGCAGTTATACACATAAGCAGCTATAGCCTCATGGTATCAAGCCTTCATGGCAACACTCACACGCATCTGCCACAGGATGCGTAAGCAAAGAACCATGTAAGATACTCAAGCCAAAAGCAGAAACTAGTTAGATATATACATATGCATATCCTAGTTCATGGTTAAGATGGCTAATGCAACACTAGGCAAAATGCAACTAAAGATTAGGCTCGACTAATCATACAAATGGACATGTTGAAATGCTATACAACTAAACGTATTCAAATTATTGAAAATTAAAATACAAATTGCAGATTAGAGTGATGCGCCGAGCCGATGCCATGTAAGACCAAATGTGTGGATGCACGCATGCATAGCGCTAAGGTTATGCTAATTTAAATATGTCCTAGTCTACCATCATAAGCGGGTAATATAAAAGGGAGAAAGAAGTGGGGGTTGGAAACATGCCACACACGCACCTACACTTATTACACAATTGCCCTCACTTAGGACGGATCCAATAAAATATTACGTCCGAATAAATAATAAATAATGATGCGTGATTGGTGCATGCTCGGATTTGTCTTGCCCCGAAAGCCCGTACCATACCACTGTTGCCTCTGTTTACACTGCCCTGTTTCTCTGAAAACTGCCAAAATCTTGGGACAGGTTCCCTGAACCCTATAGGACACCATCGGCTGAAGGGAATACCCACCGGCCATGGAACTTATCCATCGGCTGGGGGTTCACATTATCGGCCACCAATCCATGGCCGGTCGGCACTCTACAGTGCCGGTCGGCAAAAACTCCCTGCAGAAACTGGTTTTTGACAGTAACAAGGACAGACAGTGTATGGCATGGCATTTCAAGCAAATGTATGCGCGGGCACACTTCCTATCATGCAATGGACTCAAGGGAGCATGGCCCTCGACCCTCGGGCCATCAATCATGCATCTTGATGCGTGATGGCCTAAGGAGCTAATGTTGCAATTCAATGAAAATGCATGCAACATATAAATGAATACCAAAACCCTATCATGCCAAGGTCAAGGGTCTCGGTGGCAGAGATTTAAGGCGTGTTACATCACTCGTAGTATGAACACTTCTTAACCCTCACACTTGGTTTGACACCCCAAACCAAGCAATGCAATGCATGTTATGCAAACATGGCTCGAAAATGCAACATATCACAAAAAAAGCAAGGCATGCCAAATGTAATGCAACATGTCATGGCAAGCATACAATGTTCCTAATATGCAATGCTACAATGCGACTCATCACGTAATGCTAATATGGTACAATGCACGCATGCAATTAGAGGCAACAAGTCAAACATACAACCATGTCCAAGAAGGGACTTAGACTGAAATGGGAGGCCTCAAACACCCCTAAAAACAGTGGCTAAAAGTGCCTCAAGTGATGGACAAAATGCACTACAAACATACAAGCCAAAAGGGGGGCCAAAGCTAAGGCATAACAAAGGGCATTCTACCACCACTAACCCAAACAAACATGGCATGAACTATACAACCAAAAACAGAATTTTAGCATGCAAAAAGAGCTCCAAAACCCACACATATGGCATCCCAAATGAAACAAATACCTAGGCATACACAATGCACGTTTCAAGGCATAAGAGGGTACAACTTCAAAGCATGAGAGGAGCGATGAATGCAAGTATACAAGCATGGTTTAGGGACTGAAATGATCTGCTAAGTGATTCCAAATCACCGAAACAGCCTAACCAATGCATGTTCATGACCCATACCCTTAAGGCTCTCAAGCAAAAATGCAAAGAGGTGACACCAAACATGGCAAGCATGACTGAAACAGTGGCCAACAGATCTTGAACATGGCAAAATGATGCTAATACCTTCATAATATTAGGCTAGATCATGCGAGAATCATGGCCTTAATGTATGGCATACCTCTAGGCAACCTTGAGGAGATATAAAGCAAGTATAATATGCATGAAAGAGACCAACAAACCCACATGAGACAGAGGTAAAACATGTTGTATAAACACCAAATAAGCTCTGAAATGAAGCTAAACAAGATTAGAAATGCATGCTACCACATTGAGCCAAATATGCAAACAAGAGAGAGACCAAGGGAGAGGGGTGTCCCTCCCCTATACAAGACCTCAAACCCTCTTCTTTACCACTGAAAAATCCACTAGATTTCAGTGGTGAAAAGAACCAAACAACTCAAGCAAACAAAGCCTAACAATGGAAGCACCAAAAGGGCCAAACAAGGCCTAAGAGGGTGAGTTCGACCCCAAACCCCAAAACACCCTTAATGAAAGTTCTTAAGCAAGAAAATGTAAGACTTTTTTATGTTATACTCAAAGCTTGAATCAGCATGCAAGACAGGTCAAGAACCAATGCAAGATTGGGGATAATAAAGTGAAAGTCTTACCCTTGAAGAACACTTCAAGAACAGTTGGTCCAGCCACACTCTACTGAGCAAAATCAGTCCAAAATCTCAAAAAACAACCCTCAATGCCTCTCAATCTCGGAGCAAGGTGTAATGGTGTGTGTATTAGTGCAAAAGTAAGGTCAAAATGCACTTTTAGGCCAAGAAAACACACACAAGGGAGGTGAGAGAGTAAAATATAGAGAGAGAGGGTGTATATATCAGATATATATGTATATAAGCTCTGGTTTTTATGTTCAAAACTCCAACCCTCTACAATGGAAGAAGAGAGGTGCTTATATAGGCAAAAGAAATGGTCTCAAGCTTCTCAAAGAAGCTAAGTAAAAGGGGGCAAAGGGGGCAAGGAGGTCAAGGCTTCTTGAGGAAGCTAAGACAGCTGGCCAAGCTTCTTGAGGAAGCTTTGACAAAGGGTCAAGCTTCCTCAAGAAGCTTTGACCAACAGGGGGCAAAAGGGTCAAAACAGTCACTTCATGCACGGGGAGGAGTGATGGTGCATTCCAGCTGGCACAGCTGGCATGCACCAAGTCTGAAGGGTGCAAAAGGGTCACATCGGCCAGCAAAAAAAGTCACCGGCCAAAACAAAGTGCCGGTCGGCAAAATATAGTGCTGACCGGCCATTGGTTTTAAGAAACCACTGCCGGTGGCACCAATAAACGGCCGGTGATGTGAGGGGACAGCCGGTGGGGTGTGGGAATGGCCAACAAGCCATTCCCTGCTTTTCAAGGAAAAAACACAAGTGTTTGGTGCAAAACCAGACACCGAAAAGTTGAGTCGAGAGATCCCGAGGCGAGGCGCACAGCCGAGACCTCCGGGAACTCGAGACGAACACAAGCACGGATGATCACCGAGTGTTCCAACGGTGACGTCCAAGTCTTGAGGACGGTCAAAAATGGGGTGTCTACACTTTGCCACGCGCAGTTTTGGCCCAGCCACCAACACTGGCTTCACTGCCTTGTTCAAGAACTCTGCTGCTGCTTCCACTGCAGCCTCCAAACCCATCAGATTACTCAATCTATACACCATTAAAATCAAAATCAATATAAATTAAACCAAATATATCATTCATACATGAACACACTCACTACAACAATACATACACACATATCTATTCTATTATATAAATCGCACAACCCATAACTTCGTCTAGATTTTGGACTAGAGGGGATCCTCCCACGAAGACACCCATAAAATTAGTAAATGCTAAAACTCCATGTCCAATAACTGTTAAATTATTTTCAAATTCAATCATCATTTCATTAAACTGCTCAAAACTTTCTCATTTGCATAAGTCAGTTGGTGGGAACACGTTCTTTGTCACGCTTGTTTGATTCTTCAAAAAATGCTCTAAAAAATTGATTAGTTTGAAAACTAGCATGTGAAAAAAATCAAACTAATTCAAATATTTAATTCTCCCAAAAGGTTTCTATGCATCGTCTTCATTCATAAGCTAAAGATCTTCACACACACATCACTAGTATATATATATATGACAAAATCAAATTATCTAAGTTGTACCTGGGAGAGATTGAAAATGGAACTGGCTCGCGGCTAAAAGTAGGACGTGGAATCGCCGGCAAGTTACAGCTAACACTGATATAGACAGGTTTGCTTTCTTTCAATGCGGTTGATATTGCGTTATCTATAAGTTCATGTGCATCCTCCAAGTTATTCACAACTGCCTAATTGCTTCACAATCCACGATTCACTCAAAAACATTCACTTCAACTCATACCATACATACACATCCACACACACATTTATACAAACAGATCTCACTCAATTGGTGTTTGATCAAGCAAAACTTGTTTTGATTTTGAAACTCAAAAATAAAATATTTTTGAGAAACTCTATAAAAAAATTAATTAAAA